CTGACATAGCCATCCTTTTTAAGATGACACACCCTCGACTTCAGATGCCTAGTGAAGGATGTTCCAGCTGGCGCAGTGGGAGGATACAAAAGCCTAGGCGGCATGGGCCCGGCACCGCTGCCATCGCTCTCTGAAGAACTTGAGGCACCCTCAGCTGCAGAACTGTTCGCATCACAACCCTCGTCAGGTTGGCCCACGGCAGCAGCTGGCTCCGAAACATCCTCAAGGTCCTGATCCCAAGCAACACCACTTGGGAACGAAGTGGCATCCTCTGGCTGGTCATGCGACCAGGAGAAAGGGGACCTCTGCCCAGCCTCCAAATCCTCCTGTTGCCCAGCCTGCACATCGTGATCTCTAACCTGGTCCCACCAGGCTTTCTCGTCATCGTCATCAGAGGAAAAGCGCCCGGACCTTGTGTTATCAGGATGAAACCAGCCATTCCTGACCCAGGATAACATCCTCACCAGCTCATAAAGCGGCCCCGCAGCCGCATCCCTGCTGTATCTGAAAATGGTCTTGCTGGTTCCCACATGATAGCCCAAACAAGCTCTCACATCTTGCGGTGCACCAAATTTCGCCATCCAGGATAACAAAGTGCACTTTGCAGAGTGACTCGAAAGCTTTCGGCCCTCCTCCGCAGCACCAGGTAGGATCCTCCGGATCCACGATGACATCTCCCCGGACGACAGGGGCCTCACTGTCGGCCTTCCAGCAGCATCTGGGGCAGGCATCACAGGCCAACCCCCTTTGCAAGGGCTGAAATTAACAGCCTCGCACTTCTTCAGCCAAACTTCAACCCATTGTCGATCTGTCGCCCCGACACAGGGACCTGACATCTGAAGAAATTGATGTCTGTGTTGCCTCGCTTGCATGGACTTGTGATGGGAAGTAACCAGGTCCACGAAACACAGAACACCCTGTGCATCATAATCCAGCTCCAAAGCTTCGCAGCACTGCAAATCAGCCCATCTGGATCTTAGGTATATTGCAAGCAATGTAGACCCAGCAAAAACAGCATCCCAAGGATCCTCAGCCGAGTGCACCAGCTCATGCAGCTCCAGCACCTCGGACTTTTTGAAGGGAGCTGCCTGGTTCGGTTTGGCCCTGGCCTCCACATGGCAAACTCCCCGGCAGCGCCTGCTAAAAACCAGGTCTTCGCACTCGCTAATATCTAGCACATAGTAGCAAAAGCCCACGGCTTCCAGAATTCCTTTGCGGCCAGACTCGGAGCCCCCACTCTCCCTCAGCTTCCTGAGAACCTCATAAAACAGTTGCTCGCTTGGGGGAGAAAGAGCTCCCGAACCAGCCATCAGACGATCCAGCAAAAACAGCGAAGAGGCCCGCTTCAGCAAAGTGCTTGGGGCCTTTGGTCTGAGGTAATCAGCAAGGATCTCCATGCCTTCACCAACATCGACACCAGAAATTTGTCGTACGATGGTCAAGTCCGCCTGCCACACAAGCACCAGATTGTACCACCGCTTTAAAGCTTTCTGAGTCTGGCAGTCCAAAGATTCCTTCCAGGAAAGAACTTCCACACTTTGAACACACTGCATAAACAATCGTCTGACGGGCTGTGGTCCCGAAACGATCTGCCTGGGCCCAAACCCCTTGAGGGGGTCCACCACTGGCAGCAGTGCATCCAAAGGATCCTCTAGCTCCTGAGGCCTAAGGGAGTTCCAGGCAGATCTGACTCCCTCTGCAAGGCCGTGCTCCATCGCCCCTGTACCCAAAAATCACGGCCCAGCAGAAAAACTTCTAAAGAAAGCCAGCCAAGCGAGAATGACGTGGCACAGGATGCGCAGCACAGCAATGCTTAACTGCTCCGAAGTGGAAAAATCCGTCGTAGCCAGTGCGCTCAAGTCAGCAGGGTCCAGCCACTGAATCAAAAGCAACGAAACCTCTGGATCTAACACACACCAGAGTTCGCTTGCGCCAGCACTGCTCGGGGGCGACGCGCTCGTGGAGACAGCAGACCAGCTGTCCTC